CCAGCATGTGGAGCCACAATCTTCAGCTTTTATTTTAAGGCAACGCCATTAAACTTTTTCTTATTTTCTAACATTCACTTCTCAAAACAAATTAATAAAACACTGAAAACATATCAGATCTCAATGGAAAAATGGAAAAAAATGGTGCTCAGTAGTTTGTATGGCCCCCATGTGCTTATATGCATGCATAACAGTGACAGCTCCTAATGGGATGACAGGTTTCCTGGGGTTTCTCCTTCCAGATCCTGGGCATTGTCGTGCACCAGGAGGAACCCAGGACCCACTGCACCAGCGTAGTGTCTGATATTGGGTCCAGAGAGTTCATCTTGATACCCACAACAAACCTTTTGGCAATTGCATCTCCTGGAGGAGTTGGAGTAGTTGTGCAACCTCTGTAGGGTCCAGCTATTGCCTTATACTTCCAGTAGTGACACCGAGAACAGCCAAATGCAAAGCTAATGAAAAAACGGGAAACATGAGGTGGGAAAAAATATCAGTGACCTCCATCTGTAAAATCATTTCTGTCTTCGGGGGTTGTGTCATTGTTGCCTCTCTTGTGCACCTGTTTTTAATTTCAAAGCAGCAAAAACAACTCCCTCTGCTACTTAACTGACCAGATTGATTGGCTGGATGCTGTACTCTAAAAAGCCCCCTTTCAAATTTTTTAGCAGTGTATACTGTGGCAGTGAGTTAGCATCCAGGGGTTAACAATATTAACTCTTTGTTTAGTTCTGTTTCTTCACCAACACATGACAAAGATATTTGGCTGTGTTTTTCTGCTAATCGCTCCCCAACCAGCGAGCTAATGTTTCTGCACTTTCTGGTGAAAACTGACACACCAAACATGGACTTGACCAGTGAGGCCACAACAAAAAATATTAAAATACAGAACCAAAAATTCAGTTTCTAGAAAGAAAACTTCTGCAGAGCAGAGGGGAACTGCATGAAGGGGGGCTACCAGCAAGGCTCTTTTCAGGTAAACAGTTTATCGTTCATAGTCGTGCACGTTGACTTGGACTTGGCTACAAAAGATTTGCAAACAGCATCAGTGACTGATGATCATACATCTTATGACTTAACAGCTGAAGTCTAAATAACCCCCCATCGCTGCCATAATGCTGCGTCATGATGCGATGAGTCCTGTGAACACCAGAGGGCAGTCAAAGACCTGAAGGAGGGACCCTCCGCCTCTGCAA